AAGTTGTAAGCTTTAGAAAAAATGCAGTTTACACATGCTCATTGGAGACCTCCTAGAGCTTCACAGCTAAATTCCCCAGAGATTCTATCTGCACTAGACATGATCCAGCCTGGGGCTCAGCAGGACTTTCCATGAAATTGCAGTTCCTAGCTGTAAGCCATGTTGGGTCTGGGTCCAGGAAACAGAATGAGAGCAGAAGCCCATTGTTCCTGTGCTCTCAATGCCCACTCTACTGGTCCCTGGCAGGAGGTAGCTGCCCAAATCAAATGTAGAGTGGACTAGAGCCAGGCTGGGAGATGGAGAGAGTTGTTTGGGTGGAAGGGGTGAAGGAAACTGGGACTGGGATCTGGAGGGAGAGAGGGAAATAGATCTAGCAAGAAGCAAGGTGCATTTTTTAAGAGAGTCAGATAATTGACTGACAATGCAACTGACTGCTTTCTTTATCTATATTGTATAGGGTGGAAGAGTTTGGTTTTTGTGTCTTTGCATTTCAACAGGTTCAAAGAGAAACAGATTCTCTTTAATTTAAACAAATCAATGTTTTGTTTTGTTTCTAATTAGGTCTTGCATACTAGTACAGAAGTGCAGTTAAAGACCTATTAACTGCAAAAAAGATGGAGAAACCTCTGTAAGTCAGTCCTACTTTCATTTAGCTCGCATTATTAATTATGCTATAGTAATCCTCTCAGTTGAAAAGAATTTGACTTTCAGCCAACACAATATCACAAATATAAGCAAAACAAAACTCTTTGTACTAAAACTGCAGGCATTTGTATCAAATGAGGATTTGTTTCTGCATGCACTAAATCCTGAAATTATTCTAATGTTGAAGAACTGCAATTTAAAGGGAAACAAAATGCAACCTATATTACTGAGGCCACAATTTTTAATAAATGGGTGCCTAAATTAAGTTCCTAAATCCATATTTAGGTGGCTAAAATTAGTGGCCTCATTTTCACTCAACAAGCTTCTGTTAAAGTCAAAATCAGGCTACTTATTTCCTAAATAAGTATATGGGAGTCTACCTTTAGGAATACGTATTAGGCAAGTTTGGCTTCAAGATTCTATTAGTGCTGAGTAGTGCACATAGTGACTCTAGTCTGCATTACCGATAAAAACTCCAAGTTCATTCAATGGCAGTCTATTCCATAGGTGCTGGAACTAGCGGTGTGGAGGGTGCTGCAGCACCCCATAGCTTGAAGTGGTTTCCATTATATATAATGTTTACAGTTTGGTTCAATGGCTCTTAGTACCCCCACTATAAAAATTGTTCAAGCACCCCGGTCTCTTCCCCTCTAAATTCTTCTCCTACATAGAATTGAGGAGATAAAAATACAAATTACTCACAATATTTGGGTAAATATTTAAGCCTGGTGAATTTTTTTGAATTTTCAGAAGATTATATTTTTAATCTCAGAAATATAGTGCTGGAAGGGATCTTGAGAAGACATCAAGTTCAACCTTCTGTTCTGAGGAAGAAAAAAAGTAAACAAGACCTTCCTGACAGGTGTTTGTCTAAACCAATCCTTAAAAATGTGTGTTGTGCCATATTACTTTTCCAACAGATGTCTGGGTAGTTAAAGCCCCACATTACTACTAGTTCGTGTGTTTTGGATATTTCTGTTATTTGTTCTAGAAATATCTGATCTGCCTCCTCTTTCTGATTTGGTAGTCTATAATAGACCCCTTGTCATGAGCTCACCCCTATTTTTTTACACCTTTTATTTTTGCTCAGAGACACTCAAGCTTCGCTCTGCCTTCTGGACCTCAGAACAAGTTTGTGTATCCTTGATGTACAAAGCAACACCTCCTCCATTTATATCCTGCCTGTCTTCCTGAGCAAGCTATTTCCCTCTATACCAATATTTCAGTCATGAGACTTATCCCACTAAGTCTCTGTGATGCCAATTAAATCTTATGGCCTAATACTTCCAATGTGTGTATTATTTATTTTTTGTGAAAAACTTTTGCTGTCTTTCCAAACACCCTATAGAAGGACATTTAAAAAAAAAAAGTAGCTCGTGTTTTGCACATTATTTATTGTGCTATTTAAAATAAATGTTAGTCATAAGATTCCAAAATTGAATGTACTCTTATTCTAGAGTATTACTACTTTTAACTACAGCTCCCCTACACAAACAGGGTAATATTCCCTCTGGAAATAAGTGATATATATGCTTCGTCTTGTTAATGTGTTATAGGCTTACATTTTCCTATTCCCCTACCTCCTATAGAAGCATGGCTTCTACTCAAAATGTTCTTGAAAACGTTAGCTTCAGTAGCATCTCTTCATGCCCTGCCATAACAGCATTTTTCTTATTTTTCTCAGCAGCCATGATAATAGTTTTGTTCCTATTCCATTTACCAAAAACAAGCTCTATAATCAAGCAGTATCTTTAATCCTAGGTGGACCCAAGAACGACTACCACAGCAGTACCAGCTCCATTTCCTATCCTTAACAGCAGTAGCACTATCAGAATAATTGGTCTAATCCACACATAATTAAGATGAGGAAACTACTGTTTTGGCTTCAGAAAGATTGTTTTGGGAAAAAAAAAAAAAACAACCACCTCTTTTCCCATTGAAATCCCAGCAGCATATCTTCTGAAAGAACTGATACATTCAGATATTTGTTTTGTCACAGTACAGATAGGGGCCACAGAAGCACTGTTTGATTTACATAAGTGTTTTCAATTTACAAAACTTCAGATTTTTTGTAGCCATCTTCAAGGTGACAGAGCACTGGTACTCCAGTTCTATATAGTCCCCCACACAAGGTTTTAAACTAAACTTGTGTTCACCTCAAAACATCCCTTATTAACCCACCTTATTTTTAACTAGTTGTGCTCACAATGGAATTCGTAAAAAAAAGGGAACTGCCTAATTTAAGTCTGTAGGTGTAGCTCATTCAGCCAACCCTATTCACGGAGCAGAATTTGCAGAATGATGCAGACGGATCCCCCTATGCTGAGCCTTTTTGCAAATTAATGAAGCACACTTCTTTCGACTAGACTCACTGGTAAGCATTAAAAAGGTCAATATTTGCCAACAGTTGCAACAACCTGAAATGAACCTAGTTTTTCCCCCTCATACTTAGCTAGCTGCACTACTTTTGTGGTAATGGTTGGCCAATAGAGTCTTGATCAGGAGAAGTTGGTGAATGAAGATAGAGGGATGTATTCTAAGCAGTAGACTGCAACTTTATTAAACTGGACACAAGGGCCTATCCAGCCTGACACCCATATTAGACATTTTCAGTAGTCCTGGGGGAGTAAGGGGAGGTTTACAGGGCACTCAGTATCTCGCCCATAACTCAGGATAGACTTTCCTCAGCCTAGCCCCATGATTCAGCTCACTCTTTGAATCCTTTAACACGCACACACACATGCACACCTTTGAGGGTACAGAGCAGTGACACTAATTCAGATACTTCTTGGGGAGGTAAGGGGGGGCAAATTCTAGTCCCTGTCACTCTAGCAGGGACCTTGTTCCTGTCCATGTTCATCCCTACCTCCTCCCACAGGGACCCTGGTTCTCCCACAGCCAAGGAGTCTCCCCTTTCACTCACCCACAGAGCGCATGTGCTGGTGCTGACAGGAAATGAGTTCTTGGCAGACTCCCCTGTGCTCCATCATATAAGCAAAGATTTCCCATGAGTTGGGTCACAATGCCACTCACTAAAGTTTGGTAGCAGCTGTACTGATTTAGTACAGGACCACTGCTTAAAAGTGGTCAGGCCATACCACCCCTCCCCTGCTTGCACATCCTACAGAACTTTAAGTAAGCACAAAAACATTGTGAGGTAGTGGTTGTTCCCCTCACTGCCCACTAAGACAGAGGACACAAGAAAAGGGAGGGGAGGCTTCACCTGTGAAAGCCAAGAGGTCTCCTGCCATCCCATAGGCAGAAGAGCCATCAGCAAAATCCCAGGTCTTTTACTTCTGGGACCTACCCCTTTTAGCTTTTTAATCACACTTGAAACAGTCCACAAGTTGCAATGAACTAATATCCCTACTAAGTACTACCACTAATTACCCAGTCCCACTTCCACCTAACCTAATTGTGCCTTTGAAATGTTGTGAGGAAGATAGGGAAAAATAGGCCTATGTCAGTTTGGCCCCAACAGGAAGAAAAAAAAAGATTCTTCCCACTCCCCCAAACAGGCACTTGGTCAGACCCACAGCATCAGATATCAGACGCCTCAGGTCTGATATTAGAGTTATGGAGTTGGGATGGTGATTGGAAAAAACAGTGCAGGTAATAGCTCCCATGTATCTGAGCAAAGATTTAAATTAATGCAAAGAGAGAATGTAGGGCCAATCAGCTCCCTTCTTCCTCCTGCTTACTAATGGGTGAATAGAGCCTCTGCAGGAGGAGGGGCCTCTCTAGTGTGTCCCCATCATGTGTTTCTCCCCCTTTTCTTCTGAGGCTGTCCCAATCAATGCAGCTCCAGTCAAGTTTCCCCACCCATTGCTCCAGGTTGGTGGCATTTTAAATGGTTTCTACTTTAGCATCACAATGCATTTCCAATGTACTTATCAAATCCTGCGCAGTCATGCCCAGTCATTTTGCAAACATTTATGCATGTGCTTATTCTGCAAAGTATCTGAGTAACTGTATTCCATTGATAGTCCCACTGAAGTCAAGTGAGTTATATTAAACACATGTGTAACTGTTTGCTGGTTTTGAGCGTGATTTGGCTCTATGCTTACAAAAGCAGTTTCCCTATACTGAAGTCTTAACAAATAAGGCCCTGATTCAGCAAAGTACTCAAGCACATGATTAACTTTAATGATATCATCTAGTTCTTTTCATTGGTAGACCTCAAAGCATTTTACAAAGGATCATCTATCCCCATCTTGCAGACAGGTAAACTGAGGCACAGAGCTATGAAGTTACTTCCTGAAGGTCACCCAGCAGGCCCTGGGCAAAGCCAAGAATAGAACCTTGGTCTCCTGACTCCAAGTACAGTGCTGTATCCCATTTCCTCTCCATACAAAGCTAGGGGACATTGAAATGAAGTCCCATGACCCAACAACAAATTATGCAGTAGTTTCCCCGACATTTCAGAAAATTGCTGGCATAAGTATACCTCTGGTACAATGGATGAGCCTCACCCTGGGAAAACTACTTCTGTGTTCATGATATTCCCTCTTGCAGGTAAGTAATCACACCCTTAAGTGTGTTTCTGAATCAAAGATTTAATTCACAGTATCATTGCTATTTATATTATTTGTACAATAAAAATGCTGTAATAAAACAAAACAATCTTTTGGCTTTACATAGTGCTTTTACACTTGTGTGTGTGCGCGTGCGAGAGATTGATTTATTTATGAAACTAGGTCCAGCAAAAATAAAAATAGATTATCCAATCCAATGTCAATACAAATATTGTACTATATCAGAAATTGTACATTTCCCTTCTCCTTTCAAACAACTTTCTGCCCACACCCTACCCTACAAAGATTGTTTGGGATCTCATCAGCTCCCAGTGGTTTCTATGTGACTTTTAACCCCTGGACAGGGTCTCTACCTATTTTTCATTTTATGAAAATTGAACAAATTCGAAATTAAGGAAGGTTTGTAGCAGGGAGAGGTGGTCAAAAAAAAAACAGTGTCTTTCTGGATATTTAACTTTCAAATGATAGTCCCCAAATGTGTCAGTGGGAAATGAGAATTTCCCACAGGATTTTTTATTTTAGCTAGACAGATGAAGATTAATGATAAGGTCAGAATTTCCTTAAATAAGTCCTAATGGATGGGTCCTCTTGGGTGGTGTGATGACAAAAAAGCAAGACAAGAGATGCAAGCCACTTCTTCATCTGTGTAGAGCCATCCTGCTGATGCATTTTGGCCAGGCCAGGCGTGCTGCTGAGCACATCATGGGGCACAAGATGGTCAAGATCCTGCTCTGCTGTTGTGCATGACCATGGGACTGTCTCCTTATTGATAGGTGGAGTCAGGGGAACAGGGAAACTATAACCACTAGTATAAGGAAGGAATTGGTCCTAGCAGGGAAGCCTATGGGTAGGGAAATTGTGACCACAGACATAGGAAAGCACTCTTAGGAGACTGGCAAGAAGTGGGGCTGGGTGATTCTAGAGATGAAGGTCAACTGTGTCTCTGTTATAGGATAACAGCCATTAGCATGTTCAAGTGGAATGCTGTTCTAGGATGAAGATCTGGGTTTACATTAACAAGACAACTAACTGGAGTTAGTAACTAACATTTTTTTTTTTAGAACTTACATCTAGGAAAATATTTTGTAGGTATATAACTAATGTTAATAATGTACTGGAAATGCATAATAATGTTGCCCCTCAGGATAAACCAAAAGACATGATTGAGAATGAGGAATGAAGTGAGAGAAGAGCAGGATTACATTTGGTAGATATTGATTTCCTTTAGATTCGTTAAGTATAGAAAATTGGGTGGGTGATGTGGATAATATTAGAATAAATGAGTAACAAGGGCATGTGTTAAAGATGTAATTTTAATGAATAGAAGATTGAATTTTAATGAACAGATGAAATTGAACAAAAATAGAAGAATTTCTTACAGTTTCACTTTTAATTTAACCTTGGTATACTGGACCTAGAGGTGAAGTTTATACCGAAGTAAAGAAAATTCTCAGTAGCTTGATTGAAAAAGATAAACCAATCAATTATTTTTATCTAAAAGAGATGGAATTCTGTGCTTCTGTATCTGTAAAAAGGCCATATGATAGCTAAAATATTAAGGGAAATATTTCCACCTATAATAAAAGGTACTTTTCAAATCAATTGCTGAAATGCATGTTTGACTAGTGTCATAAGTAAACCTGGAACAATGCATTATAGAAACCACACTCCATACTGACCATTATTAATGTTCCACAGGAACGTCCAGTCGTGGACTAGCAGGGTTAGCATAATTTGGGATTGAAATGCATTTGCAGAACTGTGTGAGAAAACTTAAACTGAAAGAACCTGCACTACACATGTCCCCACTCTAGTGCTCTCAGTCTGTCCCTCAGGAGCACTAAGATTTACTTTGAAATATGTATGTGCATGGAGGAGCGGGGTAGTCTGGAGGTAAAAAGTGATGGCAGGTGGACAAATCACATTTTTAAAAATACAGTTTTCACGCAGGTAGGGACTTGCTTCCAACTAGTAACTTTCAATTACAAGCTCTACAAGATCTTAAACTTTAAGAGTGATGTGTGTATTTATCGACACAAATCCAGATGCAACACACTTCAGACATGCAGTGGTGATATGTGTTCTCTTTCTGGCTGCCACATGTCATGTTGTGTCAAACTGTGGTAATTGGAGATCATTGTTTCTATAAGAAACTCACACCTTCCCAGAGGAATGTGACTGTATTATCTATAAAGTCAAAGATTCTCATATTACCACATTCAGATAAGTCATTTGCTGGTATGATACATTTCTAGTTACTTGCCACAGAACTTAGAAAGCTGATCTTACAGAAGACCCATTTTTAAAACCAGCATATAAATGTTTTTTTTTTTTTTTTAAGTTTAAGATTATGCCATCTTTTTTGTTATCACCATAGAATCATAGAATATCAGGGTTGGAAGGGACCTCAGGAGGTCATCTAGTCCAACCCCCTGCTCAAAAGCAGGACCCATACCCAATTAAATCATCCCAGCCAGGGCTTTGTCAAGCCTGACCTTAAAAACTTCTAAGGAAGGAGATTCCACCACCTCCCTAGGCAACGCATTCCTCCCACACCACCACCTTTTCATTTCTCCCAGCCTGTGCCTTCATTTCTCGGAGTCGTTTCTCTGCCTGATTTCACTGTTCATGTCCATAACATAGCAATACTGCATATTTCTATGCAGAGAGGGAGATACAAATTGATATTGTACTCAAACAAGGACCTCGAAGAAAACATTTCCAAAATCATAGACAAGTTATAGGAACCAAAAAGTTTAACTTTTAATTATTTTAATATACTAATTAAAATGTATTCAGGAACTAATGGAAATAGTTGTTGAAGTGGGAGTTGAAGAAAATATTAATTTTGTTTTATTCAGGTTCTCAGAAGATGTAATTAGATTTTGTTCAAATTTTCTCATTTATCCTGCTCTCAAATTAACCGTTTTTCCTGTACTCCTCAATTCTGAGGAATGTACTATATACAATTTTGAACTGGTAAAATTTGCTGGTGCTACTTCATGTGAAAATGACTGTATCTTTGCTGTGCCAGTGTTATCAATAAGATAAAAGTGTGCTTTGCAGCCATCTCCACCATAAGGGCATTTGTCATGGTGACTGATACAGATTATATTTCCCTAGTGCCTTACTTTTTTGAAGAACAATGTATATATTAGGCATTCTATATATATGAACAGGTAGGCTAGAACTCCTCCTAGATTATTAGTAGTTGAAGGTCATGCTACATGTCCTTGCAAAAGGTATTTCCTAGTGTTATAATAAAAACTTTGATTTGACTTACCCCTTGATTTTATAAGGAATTAATAATCTAGATAGAGGTAATCTGCAAATAATCATATGTTTACTTGTGCATTTGGGGTAAAAAATTCAGAGGGGTTATATTTTTGGAAGTGTTTTAAAGACATAGGAGCATAAATCCCATTTTAAAAGTTATTTAGACTCTGGAAATGTTACCTCAGATAAACATTGATAAGGACATAAAATTGGCAGAGTGCATTAATTTCTTAAAATGTGTCTTATCTAGCCTATCAAGTAAATACATTTTATTTATGTTCTCCACTAACACAGGGATATGAGATGTATGTTCAGCCGCCACATATCAAAGATACCTGAAAATTGTAGTTTTTCTAAGAAAGCAAAATGGAAATTAAATCAAAATACCATTAATAATATGGAGCTTCATTACTACAATTTTAGCCTCCTTTTAAGCGCATTTTATTCTTTTTGGATGATGAATTGGCCTCATGCCTTCATACCCTCCAAACTAGACTATTGTAATTGACTCAGCCTGGGCCTGCAGAAGAAATTCACAAAGAAAACTCAACTGGCAAATGACTCAAAAGCCCATCTCCTTAATGTAATGAACCAAGGGAACTCTATCATGCCAGTGCTCCATAACCTGGATTGGCTTCCCATTCACTACTGGATTCAATGCAAGGCTCGGGTGCCAATTTATGAAGCTTTAATGAGAGAACGTTGTGCTAGCTCAAGGACTGTCTCTTTTTCCAGGACACACCAAGGCCGTTACAGTCACCTAGCTCATGTAGAATAAAAGAGCGGAGATCTAAGCTGGAGGGAAATAAAGGAATAATGTTTTCAATAAAGGCCCTGTGCCTCCCTGCCAAGTGAAATCAGGAAGAAACACACCACCTCTCCCTTGTCTTCAGATCAGGTTGTTAATCTCACCTTGTCACCATAGCATGCTCAAACAGAATTGAGCCAGTGCTCTCAAAAGGTATTGCAGAAACCAAAAGATCAAGCCAAAGGCCAGGATGAAGAACTGACTACCTTATAATGAGAGATTCCAACATTTCTGGATGCTCTCAGGATAAGTGTCACAAGTCATGGCAACTGTAACTGTATTCACCCTCTGTGGTCCAGAAAGGGCACTCACTCTTAGGTTTCTGGCTCCCAAGCTGCCACCTCTCTTGGACAGGAACTGGTGTCTCTCCTGCTTGAGCGGGATATTTTCAGGTTGCAATGTTCCTTGCCTACACTGTGAATTTCCCAGCATGTCAGACTGCCACAGCAGACCTGCTTTGCTTTCTTCTCAGAGGCTACAAACAGAAGAATTGCCCACAGTTAAGTTACCACACAGTTCTTTCAAAGCAAGCATATTTATTCTGAAGGAAAAAGCATTGTATAGAAAGCATTAAAAATAATAAAAGAACCTACACTCATGTTAATAAGCTTACCAGAGATCACCCCAACAAGGGTTCTGGCAGGTGAGTAGTCCTTCAAACCTCACACAGGCTTTTTTTCCCTGTGGTTACAAGTTCATGACCCCTTTTTCTCAGAACAACCACCCCCATGAATCTGCAAGTTACTCTTTTATACAATTTTTGGGCCGGGAACAGGTAATCAACAGACAATAGTTTCTCCTCAAGGCATAACTTTAAAGGTTTGGGTCTGGAGGTGGAAATGTGCATTTCCCTCCTCCCAAGTGTTGCCTAGGAAACCTACTCAACTAAAAGTTCATTCTTATC